AGCGAAAAGCTGGGTGTACCTTGGGCCGGGGGCACCTGCAGTAGCCCCCGACTGTGCTGCCCGCTTCGCCCCTACCGCTGCCCTGTCGCTCCTCCCACTCGCACTGCGCCTCCCGCCCGTCTCTCGGCCTCCTGGCCTCGCCGCGGCCTACACCTCCGGCCCTGCTCCTCGGTCTGCCGTCTGTCGGGCCCCCTGGCCCCCCACCGTCCTTGGCATCGCTCAGACGCGTGCATGTTTTCCTCGGCGAGGCCCGTCGAGGAGCACCCTTGCTCATTTGGCGAAACATCCACACACGAAACCGAAAAAAACACAGGGAATGGACGTCAGGGCGATGGACAGCGTCCCGGAGGAGGAGGAGGAGGAGGAGGAGGAGGAGGAGGAGGAGGAGGAGGAGGAGGAGGAGGAGGAGGAGGAGGAGGAGGAGGAGGAGCAGGAGCAGGAGCAGGAGCAGGAGCAGGAGGAGGAGGAGGCCCTTGTCTGGGAGCCCCCCGCGCGGCGTGGCGCTCCCCGGGGGGGGCGAGCCCTGCGCTGCCCCGCCTCTGGCTGCTGCGTGGGGGGCCCAGCGCGCGCTCTCGGCTGCGGTTTCTGCTTGCTGCCCGACTTCGCCGCGTCGCTGCGCGCGCGGCTGCGACGCCCAGAAGCGTACCCTCTCTCTCTCTCTCTCCTTCCCTCCCGTCCACCATCGACCTTCCCTCCACCATCGCTGCCTCGGCTCGGCTTCGGCATCATCGTCTCTCTATCCCACGGCTATTGGGCGTGCTGGGCTTCTTGATCCTCTTCTTCCACACTCAGCGTGGAGTGGAGAAGGTGGTATTTCCAGCATCTCGTGCAGCCGGGGTGGCAGTTGTGGAGCGCTGTAGGGTCAATTTCGGATCACTTCCTGCCCCCCCATGACTCCCGCCCGAGCCTCGTGTGTTCATGTCATGCCATCTGCACACGGTCTAGCTTCAGATTGAAGGGGGGAAGTATCCAGAAGACCCCACGACGCGTGACGATTTGTTGAGGCCTCCTCTCTTACGTGCGCTCTCATCGCAACCATACAAGAACGCCCTGAGTTTGCTACGGAGCTTTAGCGCCGCATCTTTTGCGCTACACAGCGAGCTAGCTACGGTTACGCCATGGCCAGAGAGCTCGCAGAAGCTCACGATTTTCTCGCTCGCGTAGTTTCGATGGCAATGCCAACGCAACTTTTGCTTTGCAGACCGATGTGCCACGACTGATCATTCGGATAAGGTTTCGGGCGGTGGGACCTATGGTTGCGAACAGTTCTGGCGGGGCTTATTTCCTGTCCGTTCGGTGCCTCGCTGTTTGCTGTTTGTCTGAAATCCACCAGTCGGACATGTTCTGGTGTTGGGTGTGGAAGGGCTGGCATTTGCCGCTCTGTGTTGCCACGTTGTTGAATTCGCTACATCGCGCAGCATTTTGTGAACGACGCGTTGCAACCATAATTGGCGAAGGTCTAGGATGGAAGATAGGTGCCGACCTTCATGTGCACCGCATCTGCACTGTTACTTATTTTGCATTCCTCTGATGCCGCTAATGCCATGTGATGGGTATCACCGTTCCTGAGTTCCCGATGCCATATGGCACGTATCACGAAAGCCAGAGGTGACGGCATCGAGAGCAAGAAAGGAAGCTGTTCGCCTCCGATTCGACCTCTTTCTCGTTCTCCTCGTCCTCCTGCCAGGAGGAGACAGGCAACGAGAAGGAGGAGGAGGAGGAGGCGACATCTCCCCTGGGCTCTACCTTTTTCTCACACAGAGCTCCCCATGCCAACGGCTGTTCTGCTCCTTCTCCTGTTCCTTCTGCTGCTGCTGCTGCTTCTCCTCCTCCTCCTCCTCCTCCTCCTGGTCCTCGTCGTCCTCCTCGTCTCTCGTCCTCACCGTCGCTGTACTTTTGCTCCTGGCTTCTCCCCCTTGTGTCGTGCTCATTACCCTTCTTCCCCTCTGCTTCCATGTCCATGTCCATATCCGCCCTCGCCTTCACCTTTCCCCTCCCCCTCCTCATCTCCCCCCCCGTCCTCCTCGTCGCCCTCCCCGTCCTCCTCCTCCTCCTCCACGTCCCCGTCCTCCCCGTCCTCCTCGTCCTCCCCGTCCTCCCCGTCCCCTTCCCCTCCTCATCCCCCCCCCCCCCTCCACATCCTCCCCGTCCTCCTCGTCGTCCTAGTCGGCACCCCCCCAGCAGCTCCGCTTACGGGACTGCCCCTGGCCTCCTGGTCTGCGTGGCCAGGGCGGGAGGCCCGCGGACGCCAAATCGGTGGGAGATTGCCGGGGTGCTGTACCTGACCTACAGGCTCGCGGCCCCAGATAGGGGGCCACACGCGAACCCTGCCCCTAATTACCCCCCACGACTTCTGAGGGGGGGGGGGGTTCACTTCGCTCGAGAGCTCCCGAGCGCAGTGAACCCCACCCTCCCCCTCAGAAATCGTGGGGAGTAGGGGTAGGGTTCGCATGTGGCCCCCTACCAGAGGGTCGGACGAAGGGGGGGCGGAGGAGGAGGAGGAGTGGGCGGGCACCTCAAGACTTCGCTTTCGCGGCATGTCCAAGAAGAGGAGGGAGCATGGAGGGAAGGAGTGTGGAGGAACGCGGAGGAGGAGGAGGAGGAGGAGGATGAGGAGGAGGATGATGATGATGATGTTGATGATGATGATGGTGATGATGATGATGACGCTGATGATGACCCTGATGATGATGATGATGGTGGTGGTGGTGGTGGTGATGATGATGCTGCTGCTGATGATGATGATGCTGACGATGATGATGATGATGATGATGATGATGATGATGATGATGATGATGATGATGATGATGATGATGATGATGATGATGATGATGATGATGATGATGATGATGATGATGATGCTGATGATGATGATGATGATGATGATGATGATGATGATGATGAGGAGGAGGAGGAGGAGGAGGAGGAGGAGATGATGATGATGAGGAGGAGGAGGAGGAGGAGGACGATGAGGAGGAGGAGGAGGAGGAGCAGGAGGAGGAGGGAGGAGGAGGGGGGAGGAGGATTAGGAGGAGGATGAGGAGCTGCTCCCAGGAGGGCACGTCGTTCCAAACCCGAAGGCTGTGGCAGGTCACGCATTCGTTTTGCAGAATCGTCGAGTAGCTGGGCAATCGCCGTCTGGGGATACGCGTGACGCCCTCCCGCGTGCGATTCGCCCATGCTCCTCTCCCGCTCCTGCTCTTCCGCAGTTCCCGACCAAAGGACAGGAAGCCCCAGCCCCGAAGTGCTGCCCTCCAAGAAACCTGCAGGAGGCAGAGTCGTATGCGTCCCTCGAGTATCCTACAGGAGTGCGCCTTGAGAGCCTCAGCGGCTTGCTGTGGGAGAGATGTCAGGCAGGCCTGGGATGAGGATCAATCGCTCCAGAGCGTTCCAGAACGCTCGCAGAGCGGTCCGGACGTCTCCGGAACGGGCCGCGGCGCCCGATAGATACTCCGGACCCGCCGGTTCCTAGGTGTTCTTATTTTATCATCATCCGAATGTGCTATCATCCTGCCTTCGTCATAAGATGGGTGAGGGGGAGGCGAGGGGAGATGGGGGATGAAGAGGATAGGGGGGAGGGCGGAAGGAGGAAGAGCGCATGGGGTACAGTAGGCACGTCAATTAAAATACCAACATGTCAGCAGGTACCGCACGGACAGTTGTTATACCCCAGTGGCCCATGCGGACCCACAGAAGCCTTGGGGCACTTCAGGAAGCTCAGAGCTCGATGACAAATTGCCCCTAGATATCTTACAGCAGAATTTCTGATTTTAGCTAGCGTGGACCCCAAACAGGAAGTTCTTGTACTGTGTATGTGTCAGCTATGTTTTGGTGGAAACTATGTGGTGGATGCTAGGTGCGGCAATCTGTGTGGTGCAAGTTATGTGGTGCAATCTGCGCGGCGCAATTTATGTGATGCAAACTATGTGGAGTATGCTATGTAGCACAAGCTATGTGATGCAATCTGGAGGATGCAAGCTATGTTTTGTAAGCTGTGTGGTGCAAGCTAGGTGGTGCAACCTACGCGGTGCAAGCTAGGTTGTGTCAACTATGTGGTGCAATCTATGTGGTGCAAGTCATGTGGTGTATCAATCGGAGGTGAGGGGGTGAGATCGAAGTGGAACGGAGAGCCCCCCTACCGGGAAATCGATTTCGGTTTCGTGTTCGTGCGTGCCGTGCGGGCGAGGCGAAGCTGCGTGGGCGGGCGAGAGAAAGTCTCCTGTGGCTGAGGCGCGGCCGGACCAAATGACTCCCTTCCGGGCGGCCGGTGGCCCGCGGTGTCCCGCCGGTGTCCCGCTGGTGTCCCGTGTGGCTGAGGCGCGGCGGACCAAATGACTCCCTTCCGGGCGGCCGGTGGCCCGCGGTGTCCCGCCGGTGTCCCGCGGTGTCCCGCGGTGTCCCGCGGTGCCCCGCGGTGTCCCGCCGGTGTCCCGCGGTGGCCCGCGATGATGATGAAGATGATGATGATGATGATGATGATGATGATGATGGTGATGATGAGATGATGATGATGATGATGATGATGATGATGATGATGATGGTGATGTTGATGATGATGATGCTGCTGATGATGATGATGACGATGATGATGATGGTGATGCTGATGATGATGATGCTGATGATGATAAGGACGATGATGATGATATGATGATGGTGTCCCGATGATGCTGCTGATGATGATGATGACGATGATGATGATGATGATGATGATGATGATGATGATGTCGATGATGATGATGGTGATGATGATGACGATGATGATGATGATGCTGATGGTGTCCCGATGATGAGGATGATGATGATCATGATGATTATGTTGATGATCATGATGATGACGATGATGGTGTCCCGGTGATGATGATGCTGATGATGTTGATGTTTTGGTGATGCTGATTATGATTGTGTTCCGATGATGATGTTGATGATGATGAGGTTGATGATGATTATGGCGTCCCGATGATGATTATTCTGATGGTGATGATGATGATGTTGATGATGAT